ATGATTAAACTTTCAACATTTTCTACTTTCCTCCATTTAATTAGTACCAACTTGAAAAGGATAGCCACTGAAACTAAATAAATAAACTATTTTTTAAAATAAAATAAATAATATTAATAGTTAAACTGTTTAGTTCCATGGTGATGTAGAATTTGGCACCGAACCAATAGTGGTGCCAAAAGGATGCATAACCTCACATCATCCAAGAATAAGTGGATATGAAAGAAAATTATATATAAATAATGCAATTCATGCGAAGTGATTTCCTTCCATACGTATTTAAGTTTAACGAAAAGTCGAAAACCATTACAATTTTATATTCATTATTAATCGATGATAATACACATATACATAATGTGAAATATATAAATGTAACAAGTAAATTCACAGGCGCCTAATTAGTGTATATAAAACTTTTAACAGTTTTTTTTTTTAGCAAACCCAGTTTGAAATTCTACTCAAATAATTACATAGGATCATTCATTTTACCTTGTGTTATTTTATGATTATTTTAACGTAAACTTTTTTCACGTCTTATATATATATATATATATATATTAATATATATATATATATATATATATATATATATATATATATCTATATGGAAAAGTTCAATAGAGAACCATAATTATTGGTTTTTCAAGTAATCAAATCTTTTTTTCAATTTCTAGAGTTTATTCTTTATCGAAAAAAAAAATTTAAAAATATCTAAATTCATATATTAACATTGTGAATGTGAAAAATATTTTTCGGATTCACCGCGTGAATCCGGATTCACATTGTGAATTTTCAAAGATTCACATTGTGAATTTCACGTAAAAAAAAATCGAATTTGATATCATTGGAAAAAAAGATAAAAAGTTATGAATTTCTGTATTTTTAAAAAATAAGTTCTAAAAGTTGAAAAAAAGATTGGTTCCTTGGTTAATTATGGTTCTCTATTCAACCTCACCATATAATATATATATATATATATAGATATATATATATATATATATATATATATATATATATATAGATATATATATATCTATATATATATATATATATATATATATATGGAAAACTGCAATAAAATCCCTATATATTGGCCTTATAATCGATATAGTCCCCATATATTTTTTTTATTCAATTAAGTCTCAAATACCGGTAATCGTATTCAATTTAACCCATTGGCCCGGTCAACAGGTCATCCAACTTTAAAAAATTACATTTTTAGCCCACATTTCAAAATTTATTACAAATTTGGTCCAAAATTTACACTTTTGGCCAAGATTTTAAATTTTGTTACAAATTTATCATTTTTACACAAATTTTAGAATTTTATTATGAATTCATCCTAACTTTAGTTTTTTTTTACAACTTTTTTTTTCTCAAAGAATTGTTTCTAATATGTTTTTACTTTATAAAATCATATTTATACAAAAAAAATGTATTTTCACATAAAAATCTTATATTTTCTATATAAAAAACGTTTTTTAAAAAGTTTTTTGTATATGAAATATCTATTTATAAAAATACGTATTTATTAAGTATATAAATATATACAAATCCGTTTTTATAAAAAAATGTATACAAAAACGTATTTTACAAAAAAAAATGTATACAAACACCTATTTTATCTATATTTTTTTATAAAATCGTGTTTGTTTACATTTTTTTTTTATAAAAACGTGTTTGCATAATTTTTTATATAATACGTGTTTGTATACATTTTATAAAATGTATACAAACACAATTTTATAAAATATATGTAAACACGTATTATATAAAAAATTATTCAAACACGTTTTTATAAAATGTATACAAACACGATTTTATAAAATGTACACAAACACGTATTATATAAAAAATTATTCAAACACGTTTTTATAAAAAAATATAAACAAACACGATTTTATAAAAAATATAGATACACACCTATATATATATATATATATATATATATATATATATATATATATATATATATATATATATATATATATATATATATATATATATGAAGGTGATAGGTGTTTGTATACATTTTTTTTGTATATATTTTTATACTTAATAAATACATATTTTTATAACTAGATATTTCATATACAAAAAACTTTTTAAAAAAACTTTTTATATAGAAAATATAAGATTTTTATGTGAAAATACGTTTTTTTTTGCATAAATATGATTTTATAAAGAAAAAACATATTAGAAACAATTTTTTGAGAAAAAAAGTTGTAAAAAAACTAAAGTTAGGATGAATTCATAATAAAATTGTAAAATTTGGGCAAAAAGGGTAAAGTTTGGACCAAATTTGTATCAAAATTTAAAATATGGGCCAAAAGTGTAAATTTTGGACCAAATTTGTAATAAATTCTGAAATCTGGGCCAAAAAGGTAATTTTTGAAAGTTGGATGACCTGTTGATCGGGTTAAAGGGTTAAATTGAATACGATTACCGGTATTCGGGATTTAATTGAATAAAAAAATATATAATGACTAAATCGATTAGGGTGAGATCGTTTGAAAACTTATAGTTTTCCCGAGAACCTGAGAACTAAAGGTGGAGCGTTAGATCAAAATTAACTCATTAAGGGCATGATCGTAATCTTACCGATCTCATGTAATGTTTATTTTTTTGTGTTATTGAACAAATTAACATAATAAATCAAATTTCGGATATTTTTTTAATAATTTTTGATTTTTTTTTAAAATGGAGATTTTTTAATTTTTTTTCAGAAAACATTAATTTAAAAAAAATTTGAAAAAAAATATTTTTTAAAAAAAACTGCTTTTTGAATAAAAACTGCATTTTTTTCTCAAAAAAACTGCAGTTTTCTTTAAAAAACTGCAAATTTTTTCTAAAAAAATGGAATTTTTTTTATAAAAAAACTGCTTTTTTTTTTAAAAAAAAAACTGCATTTAAAAAACTACAATTTTTGTAAAAAAAACTGCATTTTTTCAAAAAAAAAAAAACTGCAATTAAAAAAAGATTGCATTGTTTTTTTTTTAAAAAAACTACAATTTTTTCAAAAAAAAACTCCAATTTTATTAATCATCGCTACATATGCATATTTCTTATACTATAATATTCGTAAGTAAATCATAGAAAAATCTTATTTTTATTAATCAATCTATAAACATAATAGTACAAACATTTTATTCGATACAAAATAAAATATAAAAAAAGCTACAAAGATTCACAGTGTTATCATTTCTTCATATCAAAATTTCCATATTTTCTTCAACTTATCACCTTTTCATCTTCAAAATTTTCCACAAATTCTTTCAAATCTACAAGAAAATAAAAAAAGAATGATTAATACAAGAACACTCACAAAAATGCATATGTATATATCATGTAAGATTCACATGCGATGATATAATGTGATATTCACATTTGATTGTATCTTTTAAGATTCAAATGTGAAATTCACAAGAAAATAAAAGCGAAGAACACTCACACAAAATGTATGTGTGTATATAGACATAATTCATACGTGATTCACTCATGACTTACATATGAATTACATGTGATTCATATGTGATTTATATGTGAATCACATGTGATTTATATGTGAATCACATGTGATTTATATGTGAATCACATGTAATTCATATTTGATTCACTTGTGAATTACATGTGATTTATATGTGAATCACATGTAATTGATATTTCATATGTGATTCACTTGTGAATTACATGTGTTTCATATGTGAATTACATGTGATTTATATGTGAATCACATGTGATTTATATGTGAATCACATGTGATTTATATGTGAATTACATGTAATTCATATGTAATTCATTTGTGAATTACATGTGATTCATATGTAAATTACATGTGAATCACATATGAATTTACTTGTGATTTACATGTGAATTACATGTGAATCACATGTAATTCATATGTGAATCACTTGTGATTTACTTGTGAATTACATGTGATTCATATGTAAATTACATATGAATCACATGCAACTCATATGTGATTCACTTGTGATTTACATGCGAATTACATGTGATTTACATGTGAATCACATGTAATTCATATGTGAATCACTTGTGAATTTTTGCCATATTATGTGAACTTTCCTTAGTATAAAAGCTACCTGATCAATCTTAAATTTTGCTGATTCACATCGTTTTGGTTCATGGGTATTTTGAAATCCATCATCCCCATCAATCGTCTGAAAAAAACAAAAACAAAATTTATTATTTAAGAGAAAAAAAACTAAGATGAACATTAATATTAAAGAAGAAGGAAATTTTAACAAGCCAATTAACAGTGATAAATGCAACAGGAGTTTCATCTCCTAATTATTTGTATATACAACACATATCAACCCTAAATACTAGGGATGAAACTATGAAATTGATTAGATGGAAAAGAAGTGAATACATACTCAGGCATCGATTAGATTTGTTAATCTGTGGAATGGTCAATGGATGAGACATATCATCTTTCTGTAGCTAACTGATGATCCAAAATCAACAAACCCTTGTTGTCCAATATGTTTCTATAGTAGTTGTTGTCGAGTTTCATAGGGGTACCACGGTCATTTCTCACATACTAAACTGCCTTGGGGTCGGGAATTCCATCCGGACACTTATGGAGCATGTGCTCAACATGACCCGGGTCAAGAACCGGGTCAACCTCTGGATACAAACGGTGCACCAACTTCACACAGTGTGTCCTACCCACGTTATGAGAACTTGTTTCAAGAAAACCACCATTAATTAGTTTATGAACTACATTAACAGTATCATGATGCATGATGCACGATGGATGATGATCATGATCGATGATATGTATACCTAGTAAAGCAACAACACCAGGGGTGTCGATGCCGATGTTCTTGAACCTTTCAAGAACAACAGTCATAGATTAATTATGGAAGAACATAATGGGATTAAATCGTATGCATCTTCCCAAATGGTACAGATTCTCCATTCCACTTCAGGTCCATGTGCACAGAGCATTGAAGCAATCCTTTGCGCTGTTGCTTCTATTGTTGCTTCAGTTGTTGGCATTTCTCTCTGCTTTTAGGGTTTGAATTGTAGCAATTGAGATGTTCATCTTGAAGCTCAACTCCTTCAGTTTGTGTAAGAGGAGGAAAAAGCAAACCAGGTTGAGAAAGTATCTGAAAAAGTAAAGCATCTGCAGCAATCCCAACTCTCATGGATATTGCGGTTCCAATTGCTCGTAAGAAATGCAAATGCATCCAGTTTCTTGGAAGCTTCAAAACATTAAAAAAAATTATAAATTATATTTATGTAACTTTGGTTAAATATGTGTAGAATTTTGAACTTACCCTCATGCCAGATGCATAATCTTCAGCAGCTCTAAGGAGCTCAACAAGCTGAACAACAGCATCAAGAGCATCTGGGGCCCATGATGGAGGTGCTTCTAGAAGTCCAAGAAGAAGCCTTTGGGTAGCACTTGGACTAGCAATTGCATAATACCTATGGAACAACCTTGCATATGGTTCTAAAGCTGTAAGACCTTCAACAAGGTGTTCATCCATGGAAGTTGTTGGAGGTGGGAGTAAAAGAGCAGGAACAACAGCTGCAGTTACAAACACTCAATATCACACCAGCACCATTAGCAACTGCCCACCTTGGAGTTGATGGAATCAGCCGTGGATGCTTTCCAGATCCCCTAGAAGAAGCCATCATTAAATACATACAAAAAAAAGTTCAACATAACTCTTATTTTCTTTCTTCAAGTTCATTAACTGAAAAAAACGATTCAAATTATTCAAACAAAAGATAACATGTCCACTTACCCACAGAAGGTGGTTTGAGTTCCCCTCCTGCATATTTCCCCATGACACCACCACACCTAAAAAAGTAAACGAAAGTTTTTTGATGAGTATATATGAACAACATAAGGGCAACAACACCAGGGGTGTCGATGCCGATGCTCCAAAAGAAGAAGAAAAAGAAGGACTTCCATTTTTATCATCTTTTTCAAACTCAATAAGTCCATCCAAAACAGTTCCAGAATCACTAGATGCCCTACGTGAGACTTAAATTTTAAACCTGGTTCATATCACCTAATAGATCATCTAGCCAACCTAGCTGTTCTCCCAAAAGCAAGCTTTCTGATACAGTTTCCTGCAGCCGTTGCTGATTGCTATGATCACAATTTGGGAAATTTGTCTTTGAGATTGGCCACCGAGGTGGCATTTGAAGTTGCCTTGACATTGTTAACTAGATTTTTTACCCTTATAGATGAAAACAAACTGAAAAAGGAAACAAAAATAGTTTGATTACATTACACATTTTGAATAGTTGACATCTTTAGTCGTTCATTAGATTTAGAAATTAGAATAACAATATTGTCAAGAAATAACTTCTGGAACACTTTAATACATGGAAATATATTCTACAATAGACTCATGAACACATACCTTAATGAGATCAAAAACTCAAAACAAATTGAAATTAGAAATCAATAAACAAATACCTTAGCTAAGAAAAATACAAGAAACTAACTAAAATCTGATTTGAAACAGAAAAGTTGAAAACATATACAAATTTAAGATAAAATCTTACAGGCATTCAATGTGGAGGAAGAAGAAGAAGTGGTCATCAACCGGATAGATGTAGGAGCGATACAGAGATCTATGTGATGAATGCACGACGACCGAAGGAAGAAGATAGACATCCAATAAAGGAGCCTGGAGTGATCGAATTAGGTAATCCTCCACATCAGATCAGATGTAATTGATTTAGGTAATACTCCTGGATCGTGACACATTCTCATAAAAATCATACAGATGCAAAACTCATCGATTTCAACAGCTTCTTCATCATCTCTCGATTCCATAACAACACTTTCCGATCTATCATCGATTTCAACAGCTTCTTCATCACCTCTCAATTTCATAACAATATTTTCGATCAATCTGTCGATCCAAATCATATTTTCGATCTGTTGTTTCTTCGATTCATCGTCGACGAGCTGGAGATTAGAGACTGTGGATGGTCGAAGGTGGGATGAAAGGAAGAGAGAGACGGGATGAAGAAAGAGAGGGTAGGGTGACGTGATTCAATATGATAAGGGGGTATGGATTATGTAATCTCAAAATTGCCCCTGTTTGATTTCAAAAAGGTGCCCCAATGTATTTTTTCAACTAGATATTTACAAAAATGCCACAAAGCATCCTAACCTTCAATTAATTTGATCTAACGGTCCTCGTTTAGTTCTCGGGTTCTCAGGAAACTTTGAGTTCTCAAATGATCCTTCCTCTCTCTCTCTCTCTCTCTCTCTATATATATATATATATATATATATATATATATATATATATATATATAGATATATATATATATATACATTTCATAGACAAAATTACAAAAATGGTTTTTATGGTTATCGAAAATTTTCGTTTTGGTTCATAAATTTTTGGACTAGCAACATCGGTCCAAAACATTGATTTTGTTGCGAGATTGATCCAATTTGTTTTGATTTTTTTTTCAAATGACAAATTTTCCCTTATTAATTTCTTTTTCTATTTCTTTTATAATTTTAATATTTTTCTAATTTAAAATTAAACCAAAAAAATACAATTCCATCGCTAATAACCCTACACTATCCACATGTCTTTAGAAACACACTAACACCATATATATATATATATATATATATATATATATATATATATACACACACACACACACACATATCTTCATTGTTGTCGCACCACCACCACCGTCGGACGATCGTCGTCTACCGGACCACCGCCGCTTGCTGGCCTACCCTAGTCACCGGAGACTTTTTTCGCCGGACCACCCAAACCACCTCCGACGACGTAGATTAGAATATCCGATTATGTAGATATGAACAACCGCCACCTACCGAAAACCACTGCCATAACTTCCATTCTTCCTCTAGTTCGCCTATTTTTTTGTCCATTGTCTCTCTCATTCTCCAGTGTCGCCTACCTGATGTTGAACCCTTCTCGTTAGTCTCTTCTTGGAGCGTGATCACCAATGGAAAACCCTAGATCTTCGGTGGAACCCTAGCATTAACCGACGTCAAATTCATCCGCACAACCCTTTTAGTCGTCGCTTTCGCATATAAGAAATCCTAGCTTACAAATTCGTGTTTTTAGGTTTGTAGATTTGTCGATCGTTCTAGAGGTGACAGTGATGCTAGGTGATGATAATGCTACCAGAGAAGATGGATGGTGACAGTGACGTTCCAGGTCGACATAGATTTGAAAATCGACTACGAAGATGACATAGATTTAAAGAGGGGGAGGGTTTTTAGATCGACAACGTTCAAGGAGGTTTTTGAGGGTTATTTTTGTCTTTCCCAGAGAATTGAGGGTGTTTCAGTCTTCATCGAAAAAACGATGGTTTTCAGACTGGTGGTGTTGACCTTATAGTGTTGGCCCAACCATAAATAAATTGACGTGTTCGATTAGTAGTCTAATGACGTCATCACAAATCGGGAGATCAGGAGACAAAATCTTGGACAATGAGATGGATTATAATCCATGTCTGATGTCCATACGATATTTTGAAGAACAAATGAATATTTGATCACTTATCTTAGGGCCAACATTTAATTTGAATCAAATTTTGGTAGTGGCTTGGGGAGCACACTTTGTTGTTTGGTTCGAGGTTATACTTGCAGTTGTAGTTATACACTTATCCAAGTAGGAGACTATTGGATTAAGGTGTCTAAGATCATCACTAAATTGGTATATACTTGTAATTAGAAGCAAAATCCTTTTTGGGTTGCCCTCATAACTAGAACTTGGTTAGAATGACATTTGTAGAGAAAGTATGATTTATTGATTTATTATATGGTTAATAAATTATAATAAATGATTTGTTAATATATTATGTGATTAATATATTATATGGAAATAGTATTAATTAATTAAGAGTTAATCAGAATTTAATTTTAATTAATTTTAGGATTAATTAGAATTAATTGAGAGTGCAAGGGCTAAGTTGTAATTGTTCAATAGTTGAACAAAGGAGAGCTTACAAAACCTTCCTATAGGGGACGGTTTTGGAGACCCTTATTAGGGGTTCTGGAAGCCTCCATGATGATAAGAAAACTAGATAACTACTCAGATTTGAAAAAATAATAATAATATATGTTCAAATTAGGGTTTTTAAGGTTTTCTCAGCAGGTATAAATAGGGCCCTACAGTCTCCTATATTCGGCCACTTGTATCCTACAAAGAATAGTTGATTTCCTACCCCCCCCCCCTCTTCAATTATCTTCTAGTTCTAAGGGTTTGAGTACAAACCATTAGAGGCATCATAGGTTTGATGCTAGCTTTCCAAGCTCTATCAAGGAAGGATTGAAGTGATTTGTTTGCTACAACAAATCTAAGGTATATAATCATAATCCATGATTTCGATTATCATAGGGTTCATGTTAGTTTTGTTATCCATGCATGTTGCCTTCAAAGTGTTATGACATAGATCCCTATAGGTTGCATGTGCCCTTCTTAATTGTTAAGTGATTTTCCGCATGGTACATGTAGTTATAACCTATAAAACCCTTCATTGGTATCAGAGCTATCTGGTTGTCTAATATTTAAAGTGCATGACATGAATTGAACCATTGTTTTTTGGAAAACTGTTTCTCACGACGTGACACACTGTCTGTCACGACGTGACTTCAGTACAAAACTGAATTTTAGAATTTTCTGCCTAATCTGAATTGTGTGGTTATTTTTGGTCATTATTTGGTTTTAATTCTACAAAAATCCGAATTTTGAATGCCTTAGATAAAATAAAAATAAAACCCTAAATATTAGGAGATAATCTTGAATTGCTAATTATTAATTATAAGATTAATTAATTTGAATTATCCTTATGGATTTAATAATAATTTAATTATAATATTATTTAAAAGATAATGATAAATCCATGATACATTTAAATTGACTAATTTAGATAATTAATATTTAAATTTTGTGTTTTAAAAAGTTTTAAAATAGATCCATATATATATATATATATATATATATATATATATATATATATATATATATATATATATATATATATATATATATATATATGTATATATATATATATATATATATAATAATAATAATAATAAAATGTTTAATACTATATGTATAAGAAAAGTCAGTCGAATCAATACTAGGTCTGATTTACGAAGACATGCGATAATAGGGCTATAAGAAAACAACCGAGAAAATGACCATTGAATGTGTGTCCTTTTCACCCACTGCTCTTGTAACCCCCCATTCCTGGTATGTATTTAGTTCATTGAGTGCTCATTTTATAAGAGCTACTCGACGATTTGGTAGCCCTAACTCGTCGAGTAGATGCCAGCTTGAGCGCGGGGGTTTAAGTGGACTATTCGACGAGTCGGGAATAGACTCGGCGAGTAGGTGCATCAGGTGGAAACCCTAATCCTTAGGGTTTGCACCTTATTTAAGCAACATTATGGGTCTCCACCCCAGCCTCCATCAACTACAAGCCATTCTCGAAACCCTACTTAGTTTTGGTGAAGTATTGAGCTAGTTCTTGCCATTTTGTGATCTTAAGCTTGAAGAAGGAAGCAAAAGCTTGGAGTTGCAGTAGGAAGGTTGGAGATCCAGAGCTAAGGACTCATTGTTGTCTTTATAAAGGTATAAAGCTTATACCTTGGCTATTCTTCAATTAGATCTCTCCTCTAGCTTGAATGTTGTGAGTTTTGGGGCCATTTCCAAGGCTATTCCGAGTTAGCAACTTTACGTGTTATGTTAGCCTTAGGAGCCCAGATCTATGAGTTAGAAGCATTGGAATCATTTAGAATCGACTGTATGGTTTTAGCATGCAAGGAACTCGCCGAGTTGTTCTTATGACTCGGCGAGCCGGGTCGAGTTTACCAAACCTTTTCTGGTTGTGAGTGAAACCATGGAGTTGGGGGGTGACTCAGTGAGTTGGACAAGATTAGGACTCGGGGAGCTAAAGGACTCGACGAGTCCAAGGAGGGACTCGACGAGTAGAGTCAAGATGTCCCGATTATTATTACAGAAAGAACTCAGCGAGTCAGAAGAAGGACTCGACGAGTTGACTCAGGGGTCCACGAGTTGGGTTGACTGGGTTGACCTTGACTTGACTTTGGCCAAGACGTTAACTTTGACCAGGGGTAAAATGGTCATTTTACCCTAAGAAGGATTACCAGTTTTTGATCAAGTGTTGTGATGGAATTTATAGTCAGAGAGCCGCCAGAGCAGCAGATAGAGATCCCTCACTCAACATTTCAGCAGCCAGTCATACGAGGTGAGTTTCCTTCCAGTAGGAACGGGTCTACGGCCACAATGCCGGCCCGTTTAGATGATAGTAGTTCCGGATTTCGGTCTGATGTCGGGGTGGTCCCGAGAAGTAGTTATGTATGCTTGATGTCTTCGTGATTCATGCATGTTATGATATGTGTTATATGTTCCGGACTCCGGTCCGATGTCGGGCAAGCCCGATGCAGTATAAGTGATTATGTTATATGTTTATGTTTATGTTATCTTCAGTTTATACCGGACTTCAGTCCGATGCCGGGCGGGGCCTGATGCAGTGGGCGGGGCCCAAGTTATTCCGGACTTCGGTCCGATGTCGGGCGAGGCCCGATGCAGTGGGTGGGGCCCAATTCATGCTGGACTTCGGTCCGATGCCGGGCGGGGCCCGATGCAGTGAGAAAGGCCCAGTATGTGTTATATGTGTTATTGTATGGCATGTGGTAGTTTGGGGGAGCTCACTAAGCTTCGTGCTTACAGTTTTCAGTTTTGGTTTCAGGTACTTCCACTAGAAAAGGGAAGGGCTCGGGTTTGATCGCATGGCACACACCACAGTCACAGCCTGGGAGATTACTCTAATGATTTGTTATGAGATTTTGTTTTGAGATAGACACTATGGTGTTTTTATGATACATGAGTTGTGATTTTA